TTTGGTGCACCAAACTCGGCGTCAGACACTGGCTGACGCCTCTCTCTCTCTCTCTCTCTCTCTCTCATGAATCTTCCTCTTTATCGAGGAAGATTCATTCTCGATGGAAACGTCTGATTTCGTTTTTTTTTTGTTTTTTTTTTTCCTCATTGTTGTCCTCGTTTTTTTTTCTTTTTTTCTTTTTTTTTCTTTTTTCCTGTTGTGTACTACCGGTTGTCCGAGGCTCGGCAATAAAGTCGAGGCTCGGGAATGACCAACCTACCGGTAGCCTGAGACACGGGCCTTCAGAACCGGTAGGTACTGGTGGTTTAATAGGACTGAGCCTGTAGTTTAGGGACTTTTGGCTTTTCATTTTCGCGACGCAGTGTTCGGGGCCAAGGAAGTTCGGTGAAGGTGATTGTCTACAGGCGGCATCCTGAGACCGTCCCCGTGGACGGCAGCCATAGCCAGCCTTCTACAGGTTGCCATAGCTGGGGCATCCACAGCGCATCTACCCCTGGGGGTATCTGCGTCTGGCTGGGCTAGACTGAGGCTCTTCACTGGGTACTCGTGGGTGGACCACTGTCGTCCATCTCGCATCTGGAGATATTAGGGCTGGGTCAGTGGTGCGGCAGCCATAGCTGCCTGTTTCCTCGTCAGAGTTGTTCATCGGCACTGAAGACTTCATCCCAGGACCTGTTCTTCATCTGGGCGGTTGGCGCTGGCCTCTGGGAGGCCTTCTCAATGTTGCGCTACTAACTGGGTGTAGGGTAGAGCGTGGAGTGTGGAGTTTGGAGGGTGGCGAGATACTGAAACAAACTCTGTAACGATAATTGGTTCGAGTTGGCCCATCATCAGTGTAAATCGTATTGTTATCCTCGCAGGAGTCTTCTTGTGATTGGTTGTTGGGAGTATTGTCAGAGAGTGAGAAATACTGTGTGCCTCACCCCATCTGTGCATGGTTTGTTTCGCTGCTTACTTTGATCTGTGTGCAGTTTGGACTCTGTCTCCTCTCCCCCTCGTCTTATGCATGTATGGGCGTGTATGAGATTGTCTGTGTGTGAGTGGCGGTGAAAATCGTCAGACAACCAAGTTCATAACATCAGCAGTCCAGTCCAACAGGCAACCAGCAAACAGTCACATCTTAGAGGCAAGAGTCACGTCTCATAGTGAAAAGTCATATTAAAGAGTCAGATCCCAAGAGTAAAAGGGCCGTTCCACAGGCAAGAGTCGTGTCCCAGAGGCAGGAGTCACAGTCCACAGTCAAAACCCATACGCCAAAACAGAAAAGTCATGACTCAAAGGCCCAAGCAGCAGCAGACCAATGGAAATTCGGCAAGGTTCCAGGCCTTGACATTCAGAAAGAGACAGGCCATGGGGATGTGGTACCGGAACCTAGTCAGGCACCAGGAAGCAGAGGCTGGCACGAGTTGAAGTTTAATCTAAGACTACAAAAAGACTGGCCAGCCTACCATTTGGACAGATTGCTCATTCACAAGAAGTGTGGAAGTGCTGGTGCCCTTGTGCGCTAATGTGAGGGGCGGAGCGCTGGGCCCAGAGTGCTGCGCTGAGAGAGAGAGAGAGAGAGAGAGAGAGAGAGAGAGAGAGAGAGAGAGAGAGAGAGAGAGGAAGACAGCGCTGGCAGGGGGAAGGCAGCCATAGCTGCGCCAGTGCAGGGTGTTAGTACTAGTAGATAGTAGCAGTCTCAGAGGGTTAGTAGAGTTGAGAGTGGATGTATTCAGAGTAGATCAATGACTGGAAGTTGTAGGGAGAGAAGACACAGCGAAGGCATAGCTAGGGAGAAGACCAGCGTGGGGAAGAGATTCAAAAGAGAGAGAAGAGCAGTGAGGAAGAGATACTTACCTGAGAGCTTCTGCTGGTTACTGGGCATCTATAGTATGCGCTGATGAGCGCTGGTGACCTGAACTCATATTGCTCTTGTAATAACTTGTTGAAATTCATAAGCTGCTATCTGGTCTTCATCTCTCTGGCCTCCAGTGTGTGATTCGTGTGAACTCATAGATATGCATGTGATGTGATTGTGTACGCTCGATGGTGTCGGACTAAGAGGTTCGTTGCAAGAAGCTCTCTGGGATGCTGTTGATAATGCATCTTAGGTTTTCCAATAGGTTGTGGACTGTGGGTAGGTGTTTTCTTAGCTGTTGCTCCCCGATCCTTTCCTTATTGTCATCATTCATCATTCCAGATATGGCTTATTTTCCAAAACCCTTTAGACATCCATGATAGTCATCTGCCATCTTTCTTTGTTAGGGTCCACGGATGGTCACCCCCACCTTGTATCCATGTATTTCCAAAGAGGGGTTGTCACAAGACGTCCTCTCCCTATCTCGGTTTGTGGGTTTTCTGGGGTGTTATCTCTCTCCAGATTATCATCAAGAAGGTCCAGTAGGATATTGGTGTCTAGCCACTGTCTCTTCCCTTGGCGTTCCGCGTCGATTCTTCCTTCCTGTTCTCGGGATGCAGTCCTTAACCGTTAACCAGAAGACCCCTGACATGTCAGAAGCATGGTTACGCCGGACCCGAACACCGCACCAGTCCAGACGTCCGGTCGGACCTGTGTCTGGACTGCTCCAGACCGTCAGGATTGAAAACAAGTTAAAAAAAAAAAACTTTGTTATTTAAAAAAAACGTTTTTTTCCCCTTTCTCTTCTTGGATTTGACTACGAATTTCGACATGATCCTCAGTCAAAAAATAATTTGCATTGCAATGGTGCACAACATATCTTTTTTCACTTTTTTTTGTTTTTTTTTGGGTGGGGTTGGATTGGCAGTGTAGCAGATTAGTTGTGCAGCATTGGGTGATTGATTGGTTGGCCTTCAATCTCAGTGAGTGCCCCAAGGGACAGAGGAACTAAACGAGAGGAGGTTTGAGAGATTGAGAGGTTGAGAGATTGAGAGATTGAGAGATGAGAGAGAGTGCATTTCTCAAGTGTTGCTTCGACAAAATAGGGTTGCTAATATTTGCTATTAGTATTATGTCTTGTCTTATAGGTAGCTCCTAATTCAGACCTCTGTTATGTTCAAATCATTCCGTGAGGACTCCAACTCGTCTTCTGTTAACTAATAGTTACCTGTGGATAGCATTCATATGTAATACAGGCTGGGTGACAAACAGGGTTATTGTTTCTGATGAACCACATACCAGGAAGCCTTTGCCAGTTGTGTAACATGCCCGGTAACGGTTGGCTTTTACCGTTCCTGCGTTCGATGACAACGGTGGGCTGGAGGAATCTGGTTTCACACCAAAAACATGAGGTCCATTTCAGAAAAGGAGGTCACCGAAATGCCATTAGGGATTTCAGCCAGCCACTGGGGTCCACTTCAGAAGGTCACCAAAATGCCATGTGTGCGTGTGTGTGTGTGTGCGTGTGTGTGTGTGCGTGTGTGTGTGTGTGTGTGTGAGAGAGAGAGAGAGAGAGAGAGAGAGAGAGAGAGAGAGAGAGAGAGAGAGAGAGAGCAACAATGAAGAACGAAGAATGAAAATGAATGGAGTTCAATGAACAATAACTCTCCTCTCTCAGAGTGTGAGATAAAAACCTTGAAGACTTGTTTTCTAGAAAAGGAAAGTCAACGGGAACCGTAAGAAAGTTTGAAGAAAAACACAATGTTTAAACTTTATAAAGGCACCATGGTTCTATGTTGAAGACATTTCTGCCTATTGACATCATTCTTGGACACTGCTGGCAATTTATCCAGCTTGACCATTTTGACCATTTTGACCAGATTGACCAGATTGACCAGTTTGACAAGATTGACCAGATTGACCGGTTCGACTGGTTTGACCAGTTCGAATAGTTTGACCGGATCGACCAGCTTGACCAGTTTGACCAGACCGACCAGTTTAACGAGTTCGACCGATTCCATGCTTTGGTTAGCACAGACTCAGCATCAGTGGGGCCAGTTCCACCATTTTGACCAGTTTAACCAGTTCGACCGATTCCATTCTTTGCAGACTCTTCAACGAGCACACAGGCATGCTATTTGTGTAGCGTGTGTTTAGCGAACACAACAACACATGCACCAAAAACGAAGAAAAGTGAAACAAAAGAAAATGAAGCCTTGCAACTGGACAGCAGCTTGGACTGGCTCGGGTACGCAGGCCAGCTTTTGGGCCTTTTTGGGTGAGCGTCACCTCAAAAAACAATAGATACAATGTACATGTAAATTGCAACACAAACGACTTTTGGACCTCTTCGGCAGAGAGTCACCTCAAAAGGCTCCTTAGAAATTCAAAAGGTAAAATCAATAATGACACCATTTATGTAGAAGAAATCCCAAAATGTCTTTAATTAGCACAACAAAACATCAAAAAGTTTAAAATTCGATAAAAGTTAAAAACCCTTAAAAGCCTCTTGAGCACCACATCACCAACTTGGAAGATAAGACCAGAGTCTGACTGCTAAGGCCAAAGTGTCAAAGTAGTACAATCCTGGCCGGAAGTCAGTTTCTTGTTCTTTTTTACCTTTTTTTGGTTCTTTGGTTCTTTTTTTCTGTTCTTGAATTCAAACCCCTTGCAATGATCCGCTCAGATTCACTCTCCACACAACATGCACAATTAAAGCTCACAGGTAGATTCACACCAAAGCCAGATATGGAACATCAAATCAGCGCAGCTCAGAAACTTCAATGAATACCCGTATTAATGATATTATACAATTCAGAGTTGAGATAACCAGCGCTCATCAGCGCACAAAAACAGTAACCAGCGCTCATCAGGGCATGCAACAATGATCCTCAACCAATCCTCCCCCTTGTATCGCTATTCTCCCTCTCAATCTGCTACTACTTGGATCGTAACCCTGGATACATCCGCTCTTCTTGAACTGCAACTTCAGCTATGGCAGCTGTGGCCACCTTCTCCTTCCTCAACCCAAACTGGTCTGCCGCCCAGCAGGCCCTCTGGCGCACAGTCCAAGCTGTGAGGTCGCACAAGCAACCAGCAACGATTCCGCATCTCACACAGGACAAAAGATATCCCATGCTGCAATGTAGCAGCTATTAATAGTTGCTTGACTTGGCCTTGGTTTGCTTCTCACCAGTACCGGTCGCCCGCGGCCTGATTGCTGCATGAAGTTTGGTGGCCCGGTACCTTCCCGACTTTTCCTGGGATGCTGCTGCAAAATCGGATTTTGGGCCTGGACTTTTCTTTTCTTTTCTTTTATTTTTTTTTTTTTTTTTTTTTTTTTTTTTTTTTAAGAAACAGGAACTCCCGGCTCCATGTCTATTCTGGGTGTTACGGACTCAGCCAGGGCTGGTCCGCGGGTTACCACCCGCCAGGCCGCTATTTTATTTTTGAATTTCTGATCTCCGGTTCCTGACTGTTGGTGCCCTCTGCAGTTGGCGCCCGTTCTCAAATTCCTCCTCCGGCACTTTCGGATTTCGATACTCAGCGCCTTCCGGCATTCTGGTGCCAAGGCTCAGACCTTCGATTTTCAGTTCAGCCCCGGGGCAAATTGCACTTCTGCCCTCGGGACTGAGCTTGAGTCCGGTACTTAAGACCGGACTCAAGCCCAGTTCAGGCACTCAGTTTTCTGCCTCAGTGCTTATGCTTCAGTGTGACTTGCTGCGACATTGTGTTGGGAATCCAAGATTGAGACTTTGCGACTTAGCCTCTCCGTGTCTGTGTCCGTGAGTCCGTGTCGAGTTGAGCGAGTGTGTGTGTGTGCCCTCTCTCTCTCTCTCTCTCTCTCTCTCTCTCTCTCTCTCTCTCTCTCTNTCTCTCTCTCTCTCTCTCTCTCTCTCTCTCTCTCTCTCTCTCTCTCTCCCCCCCCCCCGGCCTCGCTACTCTGCCTCCACCTCGTCACACTCGGGAGCGTCAGTTCGGTTCCTATTCCACCGGTGTGAGCAATGTGCCCTCACGGGGCCCTAGCCAACATGCACATGATATGGGCTGTGGCCCCCAGCAAGCACCATGCCCGCCCTAAGTGAAGACAGGCCCAAATATACAAAAGAGGCCCTTATCACAGCATTTTCCAATGTGGGAATCATACAGTTGCAGCACGCCAGTTGGTTGAAGTGCAACACGAGCCTCTCCCTAGGCTCTTTCCAGAAACAGCAGCTGCGTCAAGCAGTTGAGCCCAGGGCTGGGTGGTTGAGCCCTGGGCACACGCAGTGTGAGGCTGACACATCACAAAGTTGCCGTCACGGAGGCTCAGGGAGCCCATGAAAATACGCCAAACACTTGGAGCCTGGAGGCTGCATGGACGTGCCCAACCAGAAAGGGCCCAGACCCCCAACTGTCCAACAGGGCCTGGACGCAGACACTGGGGCCCGACCGGAAGCTACTGGGAGCTTCCTCAGCCAGGCCCACGCAGCCAAACAGGGCCGCGACTTCCATATAGGAAGATCTCTGGCCAGAGTGAGGGGATTCTGGCCTAGGCAGGCAATGCGGACACGCTGCTGCGTTGCTACGCAAGTGTCTGCATGTGCGCTGCTGGCTGGGGCGCACGTGGGCGCTATGAGGTGAGAGGGGTGCTGCAGGTCAGCGGGCACACGGCAGCAATAGCCGGGCTGCAGGGGCGCATGCGGGTGATGGCAAAGGTGGTCTTCGGGTAGGAGGCGCGTGAGTGGGTGGTCAAGGTCTGATGAGGGGAGGAGAGAGAACGTACCTGGTGTATGCGGGAGTTCAGCGTTGGTGTTGACGTCATGTACATTGGTCTTCAACGTCGGAAGCGATCCTGTTGCACGAATGTAGATAGGCTAGATAGGCTCAGTAGAGTAGGCTGGGCGCTGGGCGCCAGACAGAGATGAGAGACATTGGATACTGTGTTGGTGGGGCCTGAGGGCGATAACATTGACACACGAGTTCACTGCTTCGCTCTTATTTGTATGGTTTCTTGGTGCATTTGAGCTCTCTGCTCAGTACATGACTATCTGGACTTCTGCGTGATTTTGCAACTTGGTTTCCTGTCTATCGCTCTCGCTCATATTCCTTGCAATTTGGTATCGGAGCTGGTTCGAGTTCGCCATTTCCTGGTTCTGGCGACATTGTTACTTGGTGCGCTGACGATGCTTCTACAAATTAACGATACAGTGGCGCTGGCATAAACAGCCACTCCCGGGTAGAGGGGAGTTAGCCGGAAGGCTGTGGCACATTGTGGGAGCTGTGGCGACAACGGATGTATGTGTTATGATGAGAGCATGCTGCTGTGGCATTTTGGCTGAGGTGGCACTGCATTGCGTTGTGGGTGGTACCGAGGCTCCGACCGGTCATCAAAATGCACGTCGGCCCAATTGGTGAGAAATCTGTGGTTGGGGGCAGCTATCCTCAGATACATTGTCCCCTTGCCTTATCTTCCCTCTCAATCTCTTCTTACCACGAGGAAGTGAGTCGAACTTGAGTGTTGTTATGACCCTGGCCAATTTCGAGATACGCATCCACCGGAAAGTACAATGCCATCCAATTGCAGAAAGAAATGAATGAACTTGAGAGGAGAGAGAGGATTAGAAGAAGAAGAAGAAGTAAGAAAGAAGAAGAAGAAGATGCACACCCGCAAAGACAATGACAAGGCTCTTCTTCTTCGCCCAACAATCTCCTCCTCCTTATCTCCCCTTCTCTTATTCATACAAGAAATAATAATACAATGTTGAATGACTGGTCCAGAATCAATGTCCGGGTCCCTCTTCTACTGCAGGTATCACTCAAGGTCCACCATAGCCATGGCCGCCTCTCCCACTCTTCACTCTCATAGGCCAAGGCAATGGCGGACCACTGGGCCTTGTCCAGATGCCCAAAGGACAACCCAAAGCAGCTATGGCTGCTCTAGCTCAGGCCGCCATGCCCAACCCTGCCTTGAAGCTTCTTGGTGTGGCTCTCCCCGGCTGGGGACTCCTTGCTGCAGCGCCCA